CTCCTCAGGCGTCTTGATGTTCCCGAGTGATGACCTTCCCTTCTCGTCATACTCCACGAAGAGATTCTCCAGGCACGCCCTCTGGTGGATCACATAGTCCCGCCCACGCCTCTCGATCTCCATTCCCAGAAATCTGACTGGTTCCCGGCCTTCTTCGACCCACTCTGGTTCCCCAATTTTCCAGTGCTCTCGGACTCGTTGATGAAATTGCTCAATCACTTTCCTCTCCCCGGTGACGAGGATGTCATCCACGTATGTTGCGCATAGTCCTGCAAGCTGCCAACCTCCATCTCCTTCGACCCCAGAGTTACTCCGGCTTTTGATCGCCCAAACATCATCTTGAGCGGTCCCTTCCATCATGTACTGGGTGTCCTCGATCTCCCACTTGAAAGTCTTGATCTTCTCATCTCTGTGGACAATCCAATCCCGAGGAGACGTCACAAGCCCGTACAAGGCTTTCTTGACCAGCCAGTACTCCGTGGGGTGTCGAAGCACTTCCGCCTCCTTGAAGATGCGAGGCGGTTCCACGACTACTGTGCCTCGTTGGCTTCCGGCGGCCTCATTCACTGGAGCGTTGAGGAAGGCGGTCTTGACATCGATGGTCGAGAGGTTCCATCCGCGAACAGCAGCCACCTTCATCAACATCCGCACCTCAATGCCACTAGCTCCGGACGCAAAGGTGGACTCGCTGCTCTTCGCGTGCATGAAGTTTCCACAGGCGACCCCTCGACACTTGTGGCGACCCGTGCCAGCTTTTCGACTGAAGATGGCCTTCGCAGGGACCAGGTCAAAGTCCTTTCCTGACTCAGCTGCCTGCTTCCGGAGCTCCTCCATCCGGGCACGGTCGATCGGCTCAACCGCCTCTGATTCTGTGACTAGGGCACCATACTCCTCCACCATCGATGGTCTCCACTCGGCCATGTTCTTCCTGACCTCGGCCAAGCCCACCATTCTCGTCTGCAGGAATGCCGGGTGCTCCTCAATCTCCTTCTCAATTTCCACGGCCTTCTGAGCTTCTTCCCACTGACCAACCTGATAGGTCTCCTCCGTCACCGCCTCCACCTCAAGAGTGAGGGCCTTGAGGAAGCGTTCATTGGTGATCTCACCCTCGTCCTCCTCGACCAGGCTGAGCTCCTCAGACAGGAGTTGAGCTCCGCGCTGCTGCAGCTCCCCCCAGTCTGCCGCCCAGAACTCCTCTTCCGGAACCTTTAGGTTCTTGGCTGCTCCTCGAACCCGACCAGGTCTCTTCCTCGGCTGCGGGAGACTCTCTCTCTCTTCCACCTCATGGAGATAGCCTGCCTCCCGAGCCGGAACGTCAAGGTCCTCCGGAACTTCGGCCACCTCCACAATGTCCCCAGTGTGGAAGAACTTCCCCGTCTTGAGCTCCTGGACAAAATAACCCGGAGTTGTCAGAGACATCGTGACCGCGGGGCAGAGGATCCTCACCTGTGTTCGTGTAGTGGAGAGGTATTTCTGTCGATCACTGTACAGCTTCCTTTTAGCCCAGACCTGCTGCCCGAACGGAGTCAGCTCCCGCCGCTTCAACCCCATCGACTCCAACTGCCTCCTCATCTTGCATTCGGACCAGTGGCGAGCCGCATGGCACCAGTAGCTCTCGTCCAGACCGGCAGCTAAGAGGAGCGTTCTCGCACCTCTTTTCACCTGCGCCACCGCACACTCTGCTCTCCCATTTCCTCGGAAGTTGTCGGCATCGGTGAAGGTGCGCATCACATTTCTCTCACGACACCAGCGGTCAAAAGCTCGAGATTGATATTCACCTGCCCGATCTGAGTGAAGTCGTAGCACAGGGAGGCCCAAGAACCTCAGCCTCGCATGGAAGCGACTGATCGCCTCCACCACTGCCTGTCCACCGCGGTTCTCCAGGATCTCGGTCATGGTGATTTGCTTGACAGTGAAGTCTGTCTCCTTCTCCACTCTCTCGAGCCAAGCCTCATCATCCCCGTCTCCTGGCCACGAGCTCCCCGCCTCTTCCATAGACTCCTCCGCCACCGTGGTGATCTCTGGTCCGTCTTCAATGGCTCCAGGGAGTTCATCATCCTCATTGATCGGGATCAAAGTTTGGCCATCCTTGGAGACCGGAACCAGGTAGACGCCGATAAGGAGGTACCTGCCTCGACCAAGCTGATCGTCCGCCTCCTGAAAAGGTCCAGCTGTATCTATCGACAGCGTGTACGAGTCAGGGTGTGGGATCCTCTTGTGTGCACGCCCACGTGAGGCGGCGACAACACACGACTTGCATTCTCTGGAGTACGGTATATGACTGTTGAGAAGATGCTTTTTCCAGGCCACGAGGTCCATTCGCCTGACCAGTCCTTCAGGTCGTTGGAGAGCATCTCGAATCCCCGCGGCCAGTGCAGCCTTGAGACCAGGTGCCCATGCCGACCAGGTCCTACTCTGCTTGATACGCTCCGTCAAGTCCTCCGCCAGCGCCACTCCACCCCCTGTACCGGGTCCTCGAATATCTTGAAGTTCCCACAACTTCGGGACATTCGTTCCCAGTCGCGTAGGTTTCCTCCGCTGGTGACCCATGGGGCCTTGGTCGAAGCAGACCTCCATCATATTCCATCTCTCCCTGAAGCTTTTCCACTCCGGCCAACTCCAATAGGAGGCATAGCGCTGCAGCTTCTTCTCTTCTTCCCTGATGTACTCCTCGGGGTCCTCGGGCTGCTCCAAGACCGAGAGGGTCACCTGGGACTTCCTTGCTGTTGCCGCCCGATGGTACAGGTAGAGCTGCCTGAGGTAGAGGATCGTGTCGTCCTCGACCTGCTTCTGAAGATGCCTGTCCAGCTGGGGCAAGCCGAATCGATATGGGCCCTCCCTCTCCCTCAATGGCGGTGGTCCCGGCTGCCGGTATCGAAGCCGACTCATTGTCCGACATGGTGGACCTCCCAGCAGCGTGCATAGAGTGCCACTGTCAGCGATGTCCAGCAAGTACGCAAAGACGTCATCCTTCAAGAGGTTCATAGCCGGGTTGATCACGGTGTCCACGCACAACACCACCCGACTCTCTGCCTCCAGCTCCTTCTGCCAGAACTGCTTGGAATCTCCACTGAAAAGGTGGATCACAACCTCCTTCGCCTTCCGAACCCTCCTCCGTTCATGGCGATTCCACGGAAGCCCTTCTCCTGTCCACCCTCTCTTCGGTAACAGCCGCTCCAACAGGTGATGGGGAACTTGAGGAAAAAGACTCTGCAGCTCCTCTAAGTGCTTGGCTTCTTCTGCGGTCACCTCGGGTCCTCCGCTCTCACCTGCCAGGAAAGCAAGTCGAGCCCTCTCCTTCACCATACTTCGTTCTATCTCCTGGATGAGCTCCATCGCCAAGTCCTCACTGATGGTGGGACAGGAGTTCTCGATCTTGGTGTCCAGAGTGATGCCCGCCGGGTCCGTAAGCTCAAAGCGTGTCTTCTCCCACACAACCTCATACCCAAGTGAGATCAGGACTCCCAGTGGCACTATCACCTGGACCTCTTCTTTAGTCAGGAGAGTTTTTGTCCACGGGAGCATCCGGAGCACTGCTGTTCCTGCGGCAAGCTCTACATTGACCTCCTGAGCTCTTGACCACTCTTCTTCACTCACTGCTCTCCTCAAGCAGTGGGTAGCGCCCCCATCCAGCAGAGCTCTTCCTCCTTCGCGAACCTCGAGGCTACTCAGCCTGATCGTCTTCACCGACGTAGACGGCCTCAAACTCTTCAGGAGTGTCGTCGCCTCGTTCAGCAGGTCCTTGACTTCTCCAGCAGTCCCAGCTCCTCGATCCCCTTCATTGGTCGCGGATGGGTCACCTGCTTCGCTCCCCCCAGTCTTCGCCGTGGGCTCCACATTCTCCACCTTAACCGGCACTGGTAGGTTCTTCTCCTTCACCGCTTTCACCGTGGTCTTCTCGGGAGATGCCCCCTTTGGCTTCATGACTGGGCAGTCCTTCTTCGAATGTCCTTGGGCTGAGCACCCAAAACATCGTCCCTTCTTCTCGAGGCCCGTCCAGTCGTGCTTGAACTTGCAGTCCTGTCCTCTACGGCATCCCTCCTCAGTGCCCCAGAAGCGACACACCTTCTCCTCTCTGGCGGTTTCAACCTTCGCCTTCACTTGGCTCTTCTCCTGCTTCTCCTCCGATGTAGTGGACATTGCCTTCACCTTGGTGGTTGCCGGTGTCGGCCTAGTCTCCTGCGGCGGTTGCAACTCGCTGATGGCCAACGACTCCGCCTCGGCCGTGAGCATGTCCGCGAAATTCAACACGGACTCCAGCGTGGGGGTCACGTCCACTCCCAACGCCGCCCTCGTTGAGGAAGTCCTGAAAGCCGCCTGGCTCGATGCCTTCACAATCTGCTCGGACATCCTGTCCAGTGCTCCCAAGAGTAGCGTAGAGTCAGGGGTGGCGATCTCCAGCTCTTGAGCTCGTCGTAGGCTTCTCCTCCACCCTCGTAGGAGCTCTACCGTCTCATTGAGGCCTTGTGGAGACTTGGGCTCCACCAACTGGCGCAGTAGCCTCGACCTCTCTGCCAACCCTCCAGGCTGGTACCTCCGAAACAGGGCGTACAGCACATCCACGGAGCTCGAAGCCCGATTGGCTAATGTCTCGGACCTGATGGAGGTCGGGACGGCGTTCAGCAACATCAGCTGTCCTCTCTGTTCCAACCTGCTCCACACGGTGTCACACTCCCTGGGCACCTTCGTCTTGATGTGGAGCCGCTGAACAGGTTCCGCTCGCAGCCACTCCCTGTAGGCAGTCATCGCCAGCTGCAACACTTCCTCCCACCACTTCCACGAGGTAGCGCTCAAATCTCTCATGGTTGGCGAGATGAGTTGTATCCAATCTCCCAGCACCAACGACCCTAGCTCGCCTTCCCTCAACTCTGGAAGCGGTGGCAACTCCACGGAGCGAATGGCCTCTCCCCAGCCCCCATCCGATGCTCCAGTTCCCAACTGCCTCAACACCGATTGGGCGGCCTGCTCGAGCGGAGATCCCTTCCCGAGGACACCATTCTTCACCGCGCAATCCGGTAGTCCTCCACGACCAGGTCCAAGCCCTCCTGGGGTTCCATGGTGTGGAGTCTCAAACTCTTCCTTCTCATGGTCTCGCCCTCCATGGCCGCCTGCCTGAAGAGCTCCAAGCCACGACTCAGGTACTGGAGGGGGTCCCCGTCCAGCTTGATGAAAATCTCCCGAAGGTCGATGGACAGGTTCATGTAGTCCCCCATATCCCCTTCCAGGAAACTCTGGAATTGCTCCAAGGGCAGCTGTTCCCGTTCTCTTCTCCTCCTCCGGAGTAGCAGGTGGCGGACCTGACGGCGGACTCGGTGGAGGGGTCGACGATGGAGGTCTCGGACGATCCACCTCCTTGAAACCCCGGTCCTTCTCCTTGTTGGAGTCCTCAACCTTCTTCTTCAGGTCGGCCAGCTCCCTTTTGAGCATCGAATTCTGTGCCATGACGGCTTTCATCACGTCTTTGAGGTCCATTCCAATCGGGTCCTCGGTGGCTGCCTCGCTCATCGATGGTGCCGAACCCTGGGGCAGGGAAGATGGTCGCATGGCTCTCAGCATAGCCTCATCCTTCATCGTCTGCGACCAGAAAGGGTTTACCAAGGGAGCCGGATGCCCCCCCAACCCCTTTTCCATCCTTCTTCCTGGATTCCTCCCTCCGGTGAGGTCCGTACGTAGTTGGAGGCCCTCGCGGCACCATCTCCTGAGAGATCACTGCCACGATCCCAGCCTCCGGAGGGGCATCCTCCAGTGCCAGGTTGCCAGCCTCCTCTTTGGCGCTCTCCATGGATGAACCTCCTTCTGGAGACTCGATGCTCGGCGCACCGCCAGCCGCCACCGCGCCGGCCGCTCCAGCCGCTCCAGCCGCCACCGCGCCGGCCGCTCCAGCCGCTCCAGCCGCCACCGCGCCGGCCGCTCCAGCCGCTCCAGCCGCCCTCCGCGACATGGCGGCCAACAACCTGGTCCTTCACACAAGGAACCCAGGGTGGTCTTCACCGACCGGAACAAATTGGGCTCATAACCCGCGTGTCCGACTGCACGGACTTTTGATGGCAAAAAAGGGCTTCGTTGGTACACTTCGGATTTGTGCGTTGCACAACCTCAAACTTGGTACACTTCTCGGTTCGTGCACCTTCTACAAACTTCAAGCATGGTACACTTCTCAAATTTATGCACCAGCAGATTCAACCGGAGGAGATTGTCCTCTACAAGTATCAACAATTGTAATTTGTAACATAGAGAGAGAGAGAGACTCAATTGCGTGAAAGAGTTCCACTAGTCCACTTGTAAGTTTTGTTTGTTGTACCGTGTGATGTAGAGTGATCCACCCATGGGAATTACATGGAATTACTATGGATCAGTTGAAAAGGCATCTAAGGCTTTAAGGCAAATAATTAATGTTTACAAATCAATGAAGCAGAGGTGCAAGTTATCTAGACATTCTTAGTGTTTGGAACCACTGACCCATACGATGTCTTACTAGCTATCTGACTAGAATGATGTGGAGGTTCTGGATTTGGTTTACGTATTCTGAAGTCGGGACTTCATGTCATCAGACCTGAGGAAGCGTATAAATTCTCTTGATATCGGTGCTGACATGGTTAAACTGCTGGAGAATGTGACAAACTCGATGAACTTCAGAGGCCAGATGCCAAGCATCCATGTATGAACCGCCAACGAATCCAGCGAATGCTCCCGCAACCAACGTGCTTTGGCTCCCGGAACCAAGGAGGTTCCTCTTGAAGCGACTCACTCAATTGACATCAATTGACTAAGTCTGACTGGTGCTTAGTAGGGAATAAGGGAATGAGCCCCCAATAGAGATTCTATTGGATCCAGCCACCCTCATTCCCTGCGAGACGCACCAGTCAGAAGTGATTCACTTGAAGGCCAAGAAGGAGTCGAGCCTTTTGCTGCCCGAGGACGACTATGTGCGTGGATCCGCAGCGACGGCGGCGATCGCACGTTCCACGGGCGAAGTGGTCCCCTACACAGGAAAAGCGGAAGATATAGCATGATACGATAATATAGCTTTAATGTTTGTTGGGGATTGGGGACACCCCACTAAACAAGAATATAATATTAGGTGGCCGAACATTATAAATTATAGCTATAGAATTCCCTGCCGAATATCCTCCATAAAATCTGGGAGCTTGAGCCCAAAACGACCCTCAGATTTTATAGACAATGACAATTTTTGTATAGAATCAAATATCAACCTATCTGAAAAAACCACCACATTTTAAACATTGGGGTCCAAAAAAGTCAGTTTGTTCTCTCAAAACATTTGATTTTATAGAGATGGCACGCCATGTCACCAGATTCTATAGAGGTCCTAACATTTGATTCTATAGAAAGCATCTGGAGTAGTAGAAGGTTGAGAATTGATTTTATAGTGGATGGTGTGCTGTGAGGTCATGAGCTGAAGGATGCTTTTTCTATGCTCTGCAAGGGGGTTCTTGCAGAGAAACATATGAGAAACCATCAGGCTCTATCTTAATTAAGTCCAACTCACTGCGCAAACCCAAGAATCTTTTTAGCAGTACCAGCGGTATCAGATGTATAATATCCCTACAGGTCAGTTTGACCTCATTTTACCGGAGGAATTGGTCATACAAACAGACTACTCGTGAAGGAGGTAAAAGATTTTACCACGTTTTTGGACCTGCCACCTTTTCAAGCTGCCACCCTGTTCGCGCTGCGTAGCTTGAAGGACAAGACCGTTCCGGCACCAATGCCGTTCCACTGCACCGGTCCTTCCGCCGACCCCTCCGTGTGCGGACCCGACCGAGGCCCTCGATCTGCGGCCTCCGTGGCGGTGACTTCGCCGTGGCCGGCGGGGAAGGCGCCGTCGAATTCGGAAACGGAAGGCCTAACCACCCTTCTGTGAAGTTCGATGCCTACTAGCGATGGCCTCCAACCTAATAGCTTCATTAGCTTCTAGCTACGTTCGTATAGCTTCTTGTTACGTTCGTAGCGATGGTCCAACCTACTTGCGATGGCCTCCACCGAGCAAAGGGTCCCAGGTACGAGCGTAGCGTTAGGCCTTTCGGATCCTTTGGTAGACGATCGCAGACGTGACTCGACCTGCCGAAGTGGCCCCAGACTTCGCTCGTGGAGGTGGAATGCCATGGAATGAAGGGAAGATCTAAAGGGATCTGGGACAAGCCAGAAGGATCCATCAAGCTGAAGGAACGAAGACTATCCATTCCATGTCAAGACACCCCACACTGGGGGGGTATGTCTTTGCTCTTCAACCTGCCGCTGTGTGCTGCTCTTGCATGGTCTATGTCACTGGTCTTCCATATTGCACCTGTGTTGTTCTAAATTATGTATGTATACATATCATATATATAATTACATATTATTTAGCTTCTGGACAACCAAGCTACATCCGGTTCACCTGCGTCAGGCTGGTTGTACATCTACAACAGCGAGGGGCAGCAGACGGTGAAGCCAGACGTCCCAGACCTGCGGGCGCGCGAGCTATGTCTAACCTGGAGTGGGTCTCGATTCACCTGAGTTTTCAGGAGGATTTCAGGAAAGAATCAAAGCTTCACCTTGACAGGTCAACTCTTAGTGGTATCAACCTGGTTGACCAGATCAGACTGGTTGATCCAAAGCTTCTTTCATTTGGTATCCCCTTCAGACTCCGGGCCCCAATGGGTTCAGCAGTTCCAAAGGATTGCCTATTTCAGGATAAGGGCTGCCCAAACATCCACACACGTCCACACACTAGGGATCCAGTGCGTACGTCCTCCGGTTCGGCACGACTGGATCCTCGAAACCTACATGACGTCGTGTCTCCTTCCTCACCGTACCTGAGGTTCGGTACGACTCTATGGGAGAGACTCCAAAACAAAAAACTGTCCATTTGGACCTGCTGGCAGTTCTTCCGGTTTCGTCGCTCAGCCAATGCTGCCCAGAAATACCGACTCGCAGGAAAAGAAACGTGGCTGCTCTACAGGTTTACTGACGGACAGGCCCAACCAATGTATATAAATAATGTAATTCATCCCCTGGATATTGCAGCAGGCTGTTGAGACCCTGCAACATGGAAAAAATGATCTAGAGGAATTGAATCTGGCTCCAAAAGGGAGCAACAACGCTAGCCATTCAAGTCCTGATCCCCTCAGAGTTTCCCTTACAAAATGGTTACCCGTTACCCCTTTTTCCACAAACGTTTTTCCATGTTTTTCCCACGACATGAATCCCCAGAACACTTTTTTAAGGCCATCCACACAAGCCAATCACTATTTTTGAACAACGCCTGGAATCCAGGCCCCCTCATCATCCACTGGACGGAAGGAAATCATGCTGGTGTAATTGGAGCGCGTGATGATTGGCGGCCCTGGATGACTATCGGAGAAACCCGGTGGTTGATTGACCCGAGTACAGGTTCAGTCTGGCAGTTCCGCATAGTTCGACAGGTCGCCTGTCTGCGCATCTAGTTGACATCCCTCCATTTGCTGGCCATAGTATTGTATCAGTGGGTCACAGCACTGGTCATAGTATTGTATCCCTCCTGTTTGGCTCAAAAAAAGGGTCTTGTTGATTTGTCCCGGTCCTTAGGGTCACCCGGGTGCTGCGACTTTTCCAGGTTGAAAGCGCACCGGCCACTTGGAGCTGGTCACGGGAAGAACGGGTTCCTGAGCTCGTTTGGTTTCGTTGGTTATACAAAAGCACTAGTCAAGAAGGTTTGTTTGACCAGTTACATGGGTCTCTGAACATGTAGGGAACTGGAAAGTGCTGATGGTGGAACTGGAAACCAGACCAATCATTAAATCCTGAAGCTTTAACCATGGGGACACTAAATCCCCACCAGAACAAGTCCTGGTGGTCATTGTTGTGAGTCCCTGTCTATGTGTTCGATCAAGACCCAGCTGATGATACAATACTATGACCAGTGCTGTGACCAATACTGTGCCAACATCGCAATTTCACGTGGGTGAGATTGAGCTGGGCAAACATGCAATGCTCTCCCTCTCTCTCTATAAAGTATAGATCATATTACGAAATAGTAGAGAGATAGATGTCATTTGCCCCCAAATTCGAGTTGCAAGTTGTGTGTCATAAGACGTGTCTCACTTTCAAGCGCTGGAGGCTAATGATCCTCATCCCGCTCTCCACTGTTTCAGAATCCAACTCCAACGGTCGTTTAAGGGGGGATGATAGCCATTGTTTATATAAACCCTGGGAGTCAAAGACTATCAAAAGAATGGTCTTTAGGTGACCCGAAACAGGAATTTCCTTTACTTCAGTTGGTCAACATATAGTCGAACTGGACTTCTAGGGAATCATGATTGCAGGTGACCTGCTCTATGCCTTGACCAATGGATGACTGGGGCCTATTTGAGCGCCCTGGGTTTGGAGTCAACAGTCAATCACTATGCCCATCATGTTGGGAGTCAGACCCCGGATACGTAAACATTGCTACCCAGACGCTCCAAAGCCCTTGGTCCCTCAAAACCCTATATAGGGATTTGAGGGTCCGGACCCCTCCGTATGAGGGTCCATGAGCGTCTGGGTAGAACAATTCAGAGCCGTCCACAGTTCCACCAATTCCACCTACAGTT